TCTTCACAGAAAAAGTGAATATTTCTGATGTTCCCTCTTTAGAAAGTAACTATAATATAGAACTGAATGAAGACATTTTAAGGACTGATAAAGAAACTGATGCAGGTCAGAGAAATTATGTCTGTGGCTGGGTCTTGACGAAATGTCTAAAAAATATTGTAAGATCTTGTAAAAGGTGTAGGCAAAACCTAATCGATAAGGAAGAAAATAGAAGTGCTTTTATAAAAGCTAAAGAATATAACAATAAAAAATGGTTATGCTATCCTAGTGAAGAACTAGAAAATACTTTTCATGACCTACAAAAAATAATAGTCTCATTTTTAAAAAAAAGTGTACCAGAAAAGAAAATTAAACAGAATATTATATTAGTAGCAGATGTAATGGTTAATTTTCCATTTAACTGCATGAAGCATAAAGAAGAATTAAAAAAATACTTTATGAACACCACAATAAATGTTATTTTATACAGCTGGTGTAGATCGGTTAATCGAATTTTGTCGGGAAAATTGTCGTATAATGGTGATGACGAATTTAAGATTGCTGCGCAAGAATATTATAAAAAACACAAGCACTATAAAAATAAAAAATAATTGCTAATTAATTTTTAAGCATTGTTTTATTTTTCCACCCTATTGTTTTAATTATTACTCCTTAAGTTTTTAGTAAATCTGTTAAATATTAGGGCAAAATTAGTTTGTTAATTTGTAAGTATATTATGTTGTAGCAATGTAGCTGCTAGAACATAATATACTTTCAAATTAATAAACTAATAAGTAGGTAGTATTCAAGTTGTAAGCCGGGCATAGTTTCCAGGGCCAATGTTCAGATGTCGCTGGCGTTCAAAGAGGTTTGCTTTAAATTGCCCAGAGAGGGCTCTCTTTACCCTATATATTACTATACTCTTTGACACATTCACACAATATGATTTGACAATCGTTTGACATTGACATTAAAATGACGAGTAAGCATTTTTGACATCAGCATCTACATTCCGGTTCACGGTTTCAGAAATTAAATTCACGACGTTATTGATTTTCTTATTTGAAGATACATCAAAATGCTTACTATATACTATATTGTCAGCAATCAGTAACAGAATTCACTTGTATCTTACATGGAGAAAAAATGATCTAAAAGAAGGAAAAATTTGTGGAAAAAATAAAACAAAGATAATGCCTTTTGACATCTGTCGTATCGAACGACTGTCATGTATTTGCCTTTGCTTTGATAACATTCATTGATAATTTGATATATATCGTTATCAGTGAAAAACTGTGTTCAGTTTTGGTACAGCTGCTGTTGCTCATACTTGTTTTCTGTGTCCGTTGCGGAGTAAAAACATAACATTTATCTAAATAAAGTACACTGTATCACACTTTTGACAGAGTTAGATTCTAAGATATTTGTACCCACTTACTGGATCTTGGTTGAGTTTGATTATTGGTGAAATCTACCATAGTTTCTTTCTCCAGGTTTGCATTTTCTCATTTTTATTCTCCGTATAACTTCAAATTAGTGGATTGTGAATAAGTTTACTATGTCCTAAAGACTTCTAAAACTGCGAGCAGTCAATGAGGCATGGGATTTTATCAATTAAAATGTTTGGTGATAAGTCTTGCTGAACAAAATTTTTCCACATACAATAACTATACAGATACACTAGTAGATGTAAGTGTTGGATTTTAATATGCCATAGTGATCACTTTATTAAAAACAAAAACTATTTTGCAGGTGGAGCCTAAAATTAAAATAAATGTCTGCAACAGACAATGATGAGGAACCGAAATTTATGGTTATAAAATATAGTGAGAAAATGGATGTGGATGCCAAAAATATCATACTAGAAGAAATTGAATTAGAATCTTCTAGTGAAAATGGTATATGTAATTTGGTTATTTTGATTATGTTATTTGTAATGAGTAAGGTTGTGGTAATACTACCTAGTATCAATAATAGTAGCATGAGATGATTGATGAATGAAGTGGATTACATATTTATTTTTTGTTTATTATTTACTATATCATTTCCAGGAGAGGAGACCAAGGAGATTATTATTGAATTGGTAGAAATAGAACCAGAACAAATAATAGTTAAAGAACCTGGTCAGATTGAAATTTGCAAGGATACACCAGATGCACCCATTGCAGAGCCTAATGACAGAACTATGGATGAGATAGAGGATGGAAAAGTAAAGGAAACAAAAGTAGATGCAGTCCCAGGATGCTCAACTGTTCCTGAAATATCTTTAATACCCCAAAAAACAAGTGTTCAACTGTTTGCAGAAGACACTGGTCCTCAACTGTATGATGCTAAATGTCCGTTAGTCACATTACCTATAATAACTAAGAACCTGCCCAAAGTATTTGAATACCTGCCCATACATGGTAAGCCGCAAGATAAAAATATGAAGGAATTCTTTTCAAATAAAATCAAAGAATTTGTCGGAAGTGGCCTCACTGATGATGAGTTTCAAGAGTTAGAAGATTATTGCAGGTAAGTCTATTTATATGGAATAAGTTTTTGTATAGATTGTATGGATGGTCACCTGAGACGATGGTAAGTGATCACTTGCCTAATGTACACCCACTCGTAACCCCGAAGATGTTGTTGGCGGCCTGTAAGTCAGTACTCAATTAGGTAAATGCAGCATTAAACTGTCAAACACCGAGTGGTCACCGGTGACTGCAACCTATTGTTCTTTAATTGTGTCTATAATGACGGTACTCAATGAGTTAATTCAACACAGGGTCATTTTAGATGACATGTAATGCGCGAAACTTGTAGATGTTTTAACTCCTTGGAGAATAATGTAAGTTTCCGCAAGGAAGGTTGCCAATGTAATAAAAAACATGGTTAAAGGTAAATCTGCAGGACATGATCACCTAAGTGTTGAGCACCTGCGACATGCTGGAGTACACCTCCCCAGGGTATTATCTATGTTTTTTACCCTCTGTATGAGTTACTCGTACCTGCCGAGAGATCTTATAAAAACGTTTGTTGTACCAATCATAAAAAATGGGACTGGCGGGTGATACTGCGGACCCTTCTAATTACAGGACAATTTCGTTGGCTACTATATAGTTAAGGTGTTGGGCTGTCTGCTTGTTACACACATGGCGAATAACATCAAAATTCATTATGCGCGATTCGGCTTTAGGCCCGACCTGTCGACAGAAACCGCGATTCTTTGTCTCAAGCAGACGGTCCAATATTATACAGCTAGGAAGACACCAGTCAATGCATGCTCGATTTGTCCAAGGCATTCGACCTGGTACAATATTACACACTTTGGGAAAAGCTGAGGTAGGAAAGCAGAGATGATAGGTCAGTAATTTCTTTGCTTACGTATTGGTACAAGTACAACAATCAGACAAACAGTGTTAAATCATAGGCAGGGGGGGGGGATAACCTCACCACGCCTATTTAATTTGTACATCAATCGGCTGATTGATGAGCTCAGCAGCACTCATGTAGGGTGTCACATTGACGGTACATGTGTCAATAATATAAGCTACGCAGATGATACGGTGTTGCTGTGTCCATCAATCAGCGGTCTCAGGTGGCTCTTAAGAAAGTGCGGCGGATCATGGGCTCAGGTACAATGGTAAAAAGAGTGAGCTACTTGTCTTTAAGGCGGGCACCAAATGTTACTCGAATGTGCTACAAGTTACTATTTGTTATTTACCATTGACTAGTGTCTTATTTCAAGTACCTGGGTCACTGCGTCACCGAGGATCTCAATGACAACATGGACATTGAACGGAAGCACAGGGCACTGGCTGTCCGATGTAATATGCTGATCCGCAGATTTGCGCGGTGTACAGGAGACGTTAAAACTACTCTCTTTAGAGCCCTGCCAGTCCTTTTATATATGAGCTCTGTGGGTTGGCTATACGAATCGGCATACAGTGCCCTGCGTGTTCAATACAACAATGCATTCAGAATGTTGAGTGGACTGACACGTTTTTGTAGTGCATCAGGTATGTTTGCGGAGGCCAAAGTTGATGGGTTCCATGTAATCATACGAAAAAGTTGAGCTTCCCTCCTCCGCAGAATGCGTGGCAGTTTACGCAGCATCTTGAGCGTATTGTGTGATAAATGGGACAGTCCAATGTTGGGCCATTGGATTAGACTGCACGCGACTGTAAAATAGAATTAGTTTTACTTATTTATATTAAACTAGCGACCCGCCCCGGCTTCGCACGGGTGCAATATACATACAAACCTTCCTTAAGAATCACTCTATCTATTGAAATATAAGAAAGCGACTTTGTTTTATACTATGTATTGATTACTACTAACATTTTATGGACTCTCGGTCTGAAATAAATGATTTATATTAATAATAATAAAAGAATAATCCTCTTGTTTCTTTTAAGTTGTAAGTTATTCCATTTAAAATGTCAAATTTTTCAGCCCGAATCATTTAAAAACAGGACGAGAGATAGTGATGGGCACAAATGTACCGGTAATGGGAGTCCCGCTCACCAGCGGGAATATAATACACAATCTGGATGAACCTCCAGAAGTAAATGAGGACCCCGATCTCTGTATACTGAAGAAGAATAAAGTACGTATAGAGAAGGATACCAAGGGATTGTTCACGAAGAAACTTAAGTATAGAGGTGTTCGGAACCTGCCCTTTACTCAGGAGGTAAGGCTATTGCAATAGTTACTCAAGTTTTGTGTTTATTGAGAGATATTATCGCAAGTATCTCTTTATGTGGAAGAGGTCAGTAGTCTAGCAGTGGACTGGTACTAGCAGATAATAATGGTGAATACTTTAACATGTATAAATATTTTACAGATGTATCACAATATGCCCGCCACTAAGCCTACAATAGAGGTACCCGATTTGGATCTTGAGCCCGGCAAAGATGTTCTGTACCGAGTCAGAGTCTACAGGCCTTATACTTATAGCATGGCGAAAGAAAGATTTGTATGTATCATAAGTGATTGTAATTTTATATTTAACAACACAAGACAGACACACAAAGAAGAATTATTGTGTCTCTCTGCACCACCCTAAGGTTGACTGTTAGAGAATGTCACTAGGTATTAAGTCTGCCGTTGTATATCTACTAAAAGTGTAAATAAATAAATAAATAAATAAATAAATTGTTTCTTACAACTAACACAAAGCAGGCAGTCGTATAGTATTAATTGTATCGTTTCCCCAGACCCGCACCCGTCATTCAGTGTTCTGCTACGACATTATCCTGACGGGGCGACACAGACTGTCGGAGCTGCGCGACCGGTTCGTCTGTCACAACGACTTCGACATGAGAGTCGATGTCTCCAATAACCCTGACATGCTGCCCAATGCTAAGGCTAAGGTATGTAATAAAAGTCTAAATATTAAGGTGAATTGTTTGTGGTATGTACATGATAAAAAAAAAAAAATAAAAATCTGATGAATATTTCTCCAAACAGTAGAACATCAAATACTAATACTATAAGTAGTGATAGAAGGACTAGCCCTCAGTTGGATCACCTGATGGTAAGCAATCATTCAGAGCAACCTAGATAAGGCGTTACAAAGGCATTTCTGATCTTCAGGGGAAGTGAGGATTGAGCTGCCATCATCAAAGTTACCAACGAGATAATCTGATTCTTCAACTTAAATTCCAGGAGCTTTTCCCGTCTGGATTCCTATTCATAAACAACGTGTTCTACGTGGACACGCGGGAAGGCTGCGTGGACTACAGCGAACCAATCAGAGACTGGGCCATCAAGAAGAAACTAGGGAACTTTCCTAAGAAAGATATGTGCAGTGTTAAGTTGGAAGATCTTGTGTTGAAGTTGGGATATCCGGAGGTCAGATTGTACTTTATAAATACTTACTTTGGTTTTAGGGAAAGGCAATTTGAACCTTATTTCATGATGTCAATACCCTAAAATTGCTTAGATACACTCACCTATAGTCATTCTTCGTCATCGCCGTGGTGGCCCGGAGATTTAAGACGCCTGCTTCTCATGCATGAGAGTGCGAGTTCGAAATCTACCAACGGCAAGTACCAATGTGACTTCTTCCGAGTTACATGTACTTTCTAAGATTATCTATGACACCACTGACAAACGGTGAAGGAAAACATCGTGAGGAAACCTGGGCTTATATTTTCTAATTATAGGTTTGTAAATCGCCAACCCGCATTGAGCAAGCGTGGTGATTAATGCTCAAACCTTCTCCGTGTGAGAAGAGGCTTTGCTCAGCAGTGGGCATTTATGGGCTGTTGATGTGTGGTCATTCTTAATAACTTCGCTGTATGTAGATTTAATTCCAATAGAATATAAACTTTATTTCCACGCCCTATTAATCTAAAATTGCTTACACATTTTACAATTTAATCATAATTTTTTGTCCTTTCCAGGTATACGTCCACCAGGGGAACTGTGAACACGTATTTCTATTCTCAGAAGTACGGTTATTGAACCCAACAGACCCACTGCGTCTTCACAACTATCCCTGTTCCACTGCCATTGCGCAGAACCAAACTGTATATTGCACTACATGCGCAGAATTTTCAGCTAAATGGATCGTCGTGGGGTGTAGCAGAGTTCCCTTCGACCCTGCCTTCTTCTGCGAGACTTGTTTCAAACAGTATCTGTATAAAGATGGTAAAAAAATTGGTGACTTCAAGGCTTATTCTTATAGAGGAAATGCGTTGAATGTCCTAAAGCCTTGAAGAGATATTTTATTATGTATGAGCATTAGTTGTGATGTGAATGAGGCCTACCGTTTATTTTGTTCTTCAGATGGCGCCACTGTCAAAAGATGTTATGTCAAAGGAAAACGAGTATCATATTACCCGTTCCCCATCCCTTTGTATTGATTTACAGCGCCCCTAGCGGCGAATCTACGCGCGTTAGGCCCCATTCACGTTGGTTACTGGCAGTTGACAATGTTTTATTTGTTTTATAGTTACTGTTACAAAGCCTATGAGGTATCACAATTTGTGTTGGCCATCATTACTGATCCACCAAATGTATGTGATGAATAAATAAATGTGATAAAGAGAAGATGACAATACGATACTTTAAGAACTATCAATATCCATACATCTAGTCTGCTGTAATTTAGTTTACACTGTAATAAGTCATCGTTTGTTTATTTGTTTTGTTTAAACAACTTAAAATATTACTATAAAGGGAGCACTGAACTCTAGATGGAATCGGGATCCACTCCGAAAATGTTTCTTAATGCTACACGGGCGAAGTTACAGGCGGATAGCTAGTATATATTATTATATTGTTTAAGTATATAAAGTTAAGGTAAAATTTTCCAAATAAGTGTAAATATTTTGTTGGAAATGAGACTGGTAGAAAATATTGTGTGATATTATTTTTACGTGTATATGTGTATAAAAAAGTAAATGATAAAAGTTGTTTTTCAATCATGATCAATGATAAATTGGTAAAGTGATAATTTACTATTGAACGTGTTTTAAAAATTTGTGTACTTGATAACCAAAATGTATATGAATGATAACCAGCCTATATTGTACGCCGCTGGGCGAATATTGAATCTCAAACAATTTTTTTTAAACAAAAAGAGACGGTTATGTTCATTATAGTACATAATATTCTTTTAGATTATATGTGTAACAGGACAGGTTCTATACACATTTTGTTGCCAAACTGGAATAAACTTTTTTAGACTTCATATTTTGTTTTTTAATTTGGCCAAGTCGTGATGGAATCCCGCGACTACATAAAAAGAAGCACTGGGGTAATTTGTAGTTGATAAGCTAAGCATCTGACATTACCCTTCGTCAATCGAAGGTCAAGTAAGGTTCCCTTTGCATTATAGTTACTTTAAGCGTACGGCGCGTTGCATTCCGCGCGCGCCTCAAAGAGCCATCAGACCACCACGGATGGGGCCCAATAGAGCTGATGCCGATTCGGAGTCGCGGAGAACCTAACGGGTTACCGGGGCTCCGGCTCGAAGCGCAAGAGTAAGAACGGGGTGATTTTTAGTCAGTAAGAGTCTGACACTCCCTCCCGCCTCACCCAGGCGGGAGAAGTCAAGATTATTTTTCTCTTAAAAACAAAAATTCATTTGGCTTGATTTTTGTATTATTATCATCGGAAAAAAATTCAAAGAGCTAACCTATTCCGAAAATGAAGACATGTAATAATTGGAAGTACTTAATTGGTCTATCTATATGAATAAAATGAATTTCCATTCGTTTGTCTCGCTAAAACTCGGTAACTGCTGAACTGATTTGGCAAATTTTGGTCTTGAAATGTTCGTTCCGAGTCCAGGGAAGGTTTGAAAGGTGATAAAATATTTTTCAGGCGGGACGAAGTTTGCCGGGTTAGCAAGTTTGGAATATTTTTTTGGATTCATTTATTAGTCTGCGTAAAAGTGGGAACTGGAGCTGGATGCATACCCACTAGAAGTTAAAAAAATTGAGAAAAATATGGGAAATTTTTCGTGAAAATAGCAACGGGAACAGCTAGTATAGTACAGAGGTATGCAGAAGTACATACGCGATGAGGTCATCCTTCCATCCTTTGCGTGTTTGGAGTGATTGATACATTTATCTGAGATCAGCAGCTGATTGGTCCAATCAAGATAGCATGTTCCCACATCGTCGTGTTATTTGTAGAACTCGCGGAATAAACATACACTGCTGTAAGAATGTTTGTATGTTATTTCGTTGGTGATAGAAGATTGTATTGCGTGCGCGACTTACCTGCTTTATAAAAGCAATTTTCTATAACAAAAGTAATGGTTAGATTTGGGGACTCTTTAGAAGAAATAAGGTAGTGGCCATCTTCCCCCACGGTGACCAGCCGCCTTGGAGTGAATTAGTAGGTTGTTTTCTTGGGTATGCAATCTTTGGTTTGTTCCAGGTACATTATATACCTACATAGGTGATAGGTAGATTGGTAGTAGGTACATAACTAGTATTTTTTGGTAAAAATTAGGTACCCTAAAGGGTTACAAGTAAGTAGGTACCAGAATAGGATCTAAGAGTAGGAAAGAGAGTCCTATAAGTATAACCGTAGTTCACGTTAAGGTGTTAGAATAGATGCAAATAAGACTCGAGCGAATCAGCAGGCCGTTGCTAGCCACGGAATAATTGTCCAAGGTATGTCGTTGGTGTGAAACCTTGGACTGGCTGGTAGGTTGTTGATATGATTGTGATTTGTACCTGAGTATAACATTCCAGGCCATTTCCTTTACTTCCTAGCTGATGGTAGAACGATGAAGATGTGACATTACCTACATCTGCGGCTGAGCTACGTAACGTGTTGTGGGTTCGATTCCCGTACGACACTTTGTATGATCCATAAAGTGTTTTCCGGGTGCGTATGTGCAAATTAGGTATTATCCCACTACACACTATTAAATGAAGAAGGTAGTTATCAAAAATTACGCAACGTCTATGTACTGATCATTACAAAACCGTCCAACGTCCCTTCTATACGTAACCTGTCTAATAAAAGAAGCGATTTTGAAATAACTCCTGTTTAACTTTACGAGCAGGTATTGACAACCTGATGAAATTGAAGTGTTTGTTTATTTTGAGAACAAATGCTTCGATACTACTAACATCTTAACGTTTTCTCTACCTAGGTCAATTTAGAGAGTATTAAACTGTCAAACACCAAGCGGTCACCGGTGACCGCAACCTATTGTTCTATAATTGTGTCTACAAAACCGGTACTCGACGAGTTAAGACGGCAGTACCTACAGAATATATATTTTGTGTACCACGTCGGTGGCAAAAAAAAGCACACGGCCTCGCTGATGGCAACCGTGGCCTATGTAGGTACGCTTGCATTACATGCGCCTTGCTGATCCTTGAAAACCTATTTACTCCTTCCTTGAAGAACTCCATGTTGTAGCCTACTGGGAAAATTGTGTCATTACCCCTAATCTTCTCGCGGGTGAGACCTAACTTAAGGAACTTCACAACAGATTGGTAAAGTTTAGAGATTATTGCAAACCCTCTTAGGTACATACCTAGACGAACGGAAGCCCGTAGTCCATCCACTAGGACTATCATGGACATTGAAGGGTAGGCTGTGCGTAGGCTAATTGAAGTAGGTAAGTATATCTTCCTAATATTTCGTTCCTAAATTCCCTAGTGAGCCTAACATTTGTAAAATACTTACAAACGAGTCTGGTGGGCGTCTAGCGCCTACATTATCCTATTTGCAGTACCACTCCATCATCATTAGTGTTGATCGGATAGTCAGGTATCACGTATTGAGGTCTAGGATGGGCAAAGTGCACGGTAACTGGGCCAGACTTGTCTGCACACTGATTGCTTGCACTTTAATGATTTATTCATTGTTTACTTAGTCATCAGTGTCGCTTGATTCATTTAGCTTCTAGGGGATCTTGTTGCATTAATATAATAAGTTAGCATAGCAATTATTTTTAGCTCTTTTGAAATGCACAACTGTAAATGCTCACAATGCTCAGTAAGGGATACTCATAGATCCTTTTTTTCCTAATGTTGCGCCAGAGCTGCGGATGACCTAGCGGGTAACCGCGCGGGGTACCAACTAGAAGCAGAAGTACGAATCGGGTGAATCAGTAAGTCTGACACATCCCGCCTCACCCAAGGTGGAAGAAGGCACTCGATGATTTGCCCCTTATAAAAAAAAATACTTAGTAACGCTTTTTTCTAAAAAATATATAGCCCATGGCCCATCCCCAAGTCACCAAAAAGCAATTTCTGTTTCTGGTGTTGCGGTCTCCACTGGTAAAATAGATTGCTTAGGATCGGGTGATTTGTAATTAAATTATTGTGTGGTGGCTAACTTTTATTATGGATTGTTGTATTAATAAACATACACTATATTATTTTCATTGATTGAATTCCCGATCACTTTAATAACTAAAAGTACCTTTGTATTACAACATTTAGGTAATTGTGGTTTGTGTAATAAATTGAATTAAGTATCTACTTATTTTCCTAGAACTATCTATTTATAGTCATAATTCTTAGTTGCAACATCATTCTTGTATTAGGTAGGCACATATGTTTATTATTTGTAGGCAAGAGGCAATAAGTCTCTTCAGCGGCTTCTTTCCTTGACCACAATTTACTTTGAAACGGCTCTTTTGTGGCTAATTTTAACATTGTAGCTATAGACTGTACTTCTTCTTTACCTACTTACAATACAAATGGTATGAAAACATTGATCATTTCTAGTATAGAACTACTTATTACATTTTGTTGCGATGATTTATTTTGTGCTCTTTAGTAACGCCTGATTGATTAAAGTTGGCCATAAGCACAAGACAGACAAATTACTAAGAAAATAGATAAGATTCACTCATTTATAGTAAGCATGGGGTTAACGTAACTAAAAGAGATTCGGTCACCTAAGAATAATCCATTTAGGGAATGAAATGAGACTATTAGGCACGTATTGTATGTACTCACTGAAAAAAATTACCGCATCGCTCAAGTTTTCAATTCATTTTCCTCAGCTTGTTATTCTAATTCTAATAACAATTTACTACGCATCTTATTGTATTTGGTATATGTGGTAATAATTGTTTTAATTAGTCATTGTATGACTTGTACTGATACAATAAATAACAAGGAGCCTCTTAAGTATTAGCAGTACCTAAGTCAAGTCGTAAGTGACATAACCATCACATTTATTATTTTTATCTTTTGCTCCGTAGGTGTAAGTATAGCAAATTGTGGAGCATGGTAAATTGTAAAATTAGTAGAGCATCAGGCTGATGAGTTACGGTTGGACACTAGTAGGGTTGACGCTAACACGAGATGGTATGGAGCCATGTTTTTTCTTCTTTAGGCTGTGATTACCGAGAATTTATTAGTAACGTCTTTCGTGGAGGTGAATAAAATAGGGAGCTACTACGGGCATGTAATGTCCTTCATGTCAGAAATATTTATATATAGGTTCGGAGCACAATTCCTGGTAGATTATAAAACCTAACGAATAAGACGTGCATTAAGTTTAAAATCACTATTTTCAGATTATACATTTAGTTGTTCTATACGAGGCTCTGCACTTAGGGTGGGTAACTATAAATTTCAATGAAACGTTATGATGATAGATATCTTTTGATTTCATATTACCTCTAATAACAACTTTTAAGAGTCAACGGGAGCAGAAACAGATGACAAGTCTAGTCAAGTCAGGTGCAGCAACATTTCCGCGGGGGCGAGTGTGTCCGTGACGGGAGCCAATCTTCATTATTGCATCGCATACAATGTTCAAGCAATGAGCTTGTTAACTAGCTGCTGGTTTTTGTAGCTGTCAACTGGAGATGGCTACACGTAAGTTATGATAAACGTGCTCCACATCATTCTAATCATACTGTAGATTATTTCACAGGAAAATTACGTAAGACTTCCTACGAAACTAAAGCACTTGATCTAGATATCGAAGTATTTAACCCAATAGTAACACATATTATTCCCTAAAATATATATAGGATCTAACTTACTGATTCTGAAAACTGGAAAAGCAATAAGGGACTTTATTAGACCGAACCTGAAATCAACTTTATCGTTTTGTAACAAAGTCGAAACTACTCAAGACAGATTTTAATAGCTCAATCTAAATCTATACCAGTACCTAAGTAAGGTAATATTGACAAGTTGACACAAATTACTATCCTAATTAAGGTTGTAACTGAGATAAGGTAAACAAACGAAG